CATTTGGATTTGATTTTTTAAATCTAGGACAGAAAAGCTAGTCAGACTTTTGCTGCAAAATATTTATTGAGTGTAACTGCTATTACATAAGCACAACATTATGCAAAACTATTACCTCCACATGGTAATGCTACAGACAGATGCAAGCCTGAAGGCTTTGGTTTTACACTTCTAAAAAGTGTGTTCAAGAGGCTTAACTACATTAAGGGCACACTCAGTCTGAAGTTACTTTTAGTTCAGTAACAAAAATTTCACATTCATTATAAAACCAGGCCTACTCACCTTTGGAATATGAAAGAGGAACTCGAACATGGTTCTTACAAAATAACATTACGTGTTCCATGAAAGACACATTCACTGCATTCCATCACCTGCAGCTCCTGTGTTCAGTAAGTAGTGTTGGTACTCTATTCTATGGCCTGAAGACCAGCCCCACAATCTGCCAGGCAGCATCATCTGGCACAGAGAACCCATAGCCAGAGAGAAGCGAAAGCACAGAGGGAAAGAAGCAGCCACAGAACCTCTCATCCCCAGCAGAGTCCTGTATTCAAAAAGGTCCACTCAGGGCTAAATATACATTTTCTCCATCTCCTAATCAACATACTGCCTTCTGAACCAAAATCTTCACTTTAAAGCTTAAAAAACCCCAAGTATCTTAAGCGGTTTGTTGTATCCATTTTAGAGTACTGCATTTCTGTTGCATCCATTTTAGAGTACTGCACTTCTGTTGCCACTACGGTTCCACAAACTGAACTGATGTCAGAAGTCCATATGACTTTCACAAGGTCACCCTGATGATCTTACAATCTTATAAGTGTTGGAATTCCAAAACAGTGCTCAACATTGTGAATGATAACCACCAGACTGACAGTACTGAGCTTTCAGCTGCTGTTTGCTAACTCAGTATCAAGGGATCACTGGGTGCCCCTGCTGCCAACTTGTCCTCTTTTCACACAGTAATGACTACCACTCAGCTGCCAAGACATTCACAATTTGCAGCAGGAACCTTTTACCAATGTGCAGTAACCCCATTTTTACAGACAACTCAAAAAGGGAGCAAAGAAATAAATAGCACAAGAAACCGACTGTAGAACTCTTTAATCCTGTTACAAGTATCACTCAGAGTTTAGCATGAATTAACATTAATCAGCTCTTTGATAGCACTAACCTTATTCCTTATTCCAGCAGTTGTAGCAACAAGCAAACAACTTGCCTGGACTTTAGCAAAATGACAAAATTGTTCAAATTTGCCATCAAATAAGAGTTTAGACTGATCTCACAGGCAGACATGAACAGCTCAGTTCATCATCATAATATTATCAATTCATTATATCAGTTGCTTTTATTTTAATGAAAAATATCTCAAAATAGTTTTATAACACTGGTTGATGAAATGTTTAACTAGCTTTTAGTATTTCACAAGTACTAGTTTCTAGGCACTGCCTTGGTTTCTTTGAGATTCTATATTTCAATTTTAAAGAGTCTATCTTTCCTTCTTTGAGTTATTACAGACTTAAATCAGTAAACTTAAGGTTCTTAAAGTTTATTTATCTAGGGATAACGATAGCTAAAGCAACAATATTCCAAATTGCTTCCATACTGCTGATTTCCTTATTATACAGGGACAGCTAATCAGTTCTAAGCTAATAACAAAGTTTAACCAAAACCCATGTTCATACACTCACCATCTATAAGAGAAACATAGTCTCAGAAGATCAAGAAGAAAATTTTACTATGAATCTGCTGAATCATTGCAGCTTCCCAAAACATGTTCCCTAGAGTGAACAGGACTTCAGTCTCCTCTGTTTCATTAGTCTCACTAATTTTATTAGTTACTAATGAACTATAGTCATATTTGAAGTGATGACAAGTGCTAAACTAAAAGGAAAAAGATCAATATAAAAGAAGCTTTTTGGAACAATGGGATGGAAAAAAGATCTGTGCTAGAGTATATCCCCTGTTATTTGCTTCAAAGAAACCAGACAGACATGTTTCCACACTGAACATGCATTATGAACTGCCACTTGCTTTCTGGCAACATTACCCTCTCTTCTGGTAATAAAACCAAAATCAATTATGTATCTTTGAAAATAAATCTTCCCAGCTGCTATGGCTCAAGCACCTTGCTTTGTACTGTGTCTTTATAGATCATTTATTCTTCTACTTGAGTTGTTCATCATTAAATACTCTTAGCAGGAAAGACTATTTTAAACATAACAATGGCAGTAAAAAACCCACACTGAGGGAACTTATCCTCTCTTGTCAGGTTCTGCTTTAGATGACTCAACCAGTCCAAAAAATTCAGAATTTCATTTACTGACCCTTTTCATAACATCCAATAATCTGGCAGCTCTCAGATGAGAATTAGCATAATGCATGTTCAGAATCAAGAAATGGGAAAAATAAGACCTCAAACTGCTTCAGGCCAATCTATTGCATAAAATTAATCAATCATAATCCTCTTCTGATAAAATTAAGACCTTAAGGCTTCTGTTCATAATGCCATGATCAGACAGCTTCCCAATAATATGTGTTATTTGCAAGACATTCCAGAACAAAACCTATAATCAAGTCTCTAACTACAAGACCAAGATTATAAAAATTCATTTTGAGTGCCTGCAGTCAGAGAAAGTAGACTAAAGAGCCAATCTAACTAAATGGCGGTTGTTTTTTTTTCCTTACCAGAACAACTTAACCACAGGTCTAGGAATGACAATAAGTAAGACACAGGGTAACAAGTTGTCACACATTAGCTACATACAACAGGTCTATGATGGTAACTTACAGAGCTGTAATAACTAGTTATCAATTAAATCAATCACCAAGAATTGTATGAAATATTAATTACGTAAAGAGGAAATGTCTGTCTTGCTTTACTTCACTCATCTTTTTTTATTTCATGCTTCAACAACTTTGTTTAGTTCTGATTATCCAAACCCATAAAATAATATTTTTCTTCAAATCTTCTCTATGATGCCTGCAAGCAGAGCATAAGCATGCACAACAAATATTCTGTATGTCCAAAATATCCCTGAGAAGCAGAGACATCTTAATATCATTCTGCATATAAGGAAGAAACATTAAGATCTAGATTTTCACTCTACACTAATTTTAATTTGTAAAGGTAGTCATATTTTTCTAATGGCCCTGTGTAATGTAAACACACACATACAATGTGTATCAAACCATAACGAACATAAACATTTAATTAGTTTGTAAACAGCAGTATTTTTGTGCTTTAAAGGTACAAATAGAACAAACCCCCTTGAATAGAAGATTAAAAAAAATCAGGAGTTCTAAAGATGTCATTAGTAACAACCAGGGATTCAATCAAGCAAATGCTCTGGGCAGTTCTTCAGAAGTTTCAGAAGTAAATTTAAGGAGCTCTCTAATGTGGGATCTAATGTGCCAGAAAATAATTACCATAAATCAATTCCCTACCTATAATTCAATAAACTACTGCTACCAAATGATAAGTCTTCCCCACTTTCCCGAGGCTCACAGGACTCTCATTTGGGATTCCCTAGCTACAAATACACACCTGTGTGCTATGCAGCACACGGGCAAATCAAATACGACCGGGACATGTATCAGACCTACTGTACATAACACACACGGTAAGTGAAGTCCGTCACAGACAGACTATATAACTACCTTGCATAGTCCAATCTCTGTTTCACTGAGCACAGGTGTTTTTTGCCCAAGATCCATAGGCATCAAATAATCTCAGACAAACAGCTGATTTCTTATAATGAAAGTTCTGGATGACAAAATGAAAGATATCCAGACACAGTCAGATATAGGGTAGCTAAAGCTCTGCATCTGTCAGTTCACACCTGAGAAACAGTGGAGAACACTCTGAAAACACTCTTTTGCACCACAATAGGAGTTAAAAGGTTTTCCTATTCAGCTCTTCTGCCACTGATAACACAGCATCGAGGTAAAATAATCTAAGTCCGAGCTGACAATTTGAGAAAAGAAAACAGACTTGAAAATCTCCTATGTTATGTCAATGACAGACAATCATTTCAGATTAATTGCATCTCGGTTTGGGATTGCTTTAGTTTGTGGAGTTTTTTGTTTGTTTTTTTTTTGGGGGGGAAGAGGAAGCAGTTGGTTGTTTTTCAGTTTTAAGCATACAGTAACACTTGCTGAAATATGTAATTATATAACAAACAAAGCACATAGAGTAATTTCCCAACAATTTAAAGACATTATGACCTGCCATTCCCAGAAGTCTCTTTAGCTAGTTTTTAAAATATATCGTAGGGAACAAAAATGGTTGACTAACCTGCAGACTTTGCCGGTTTGAGATGTTTGACTTAGTAAGAGACGGAAAAAGAACCACTTTTGAAACCCAAATGTTCTGAGTGATAAATCTATATAACTGACATATTTCAGGAAACAATGAGGACTTGAAGTTCATTGTCAGAAAGTCATGAATCAAAAAAAAAATTTGGAAATTTCTATCCTTTTCCTTATCACCCTCATCTCTATCAAGTCAGATCTATAGACAAGTCTGAAGCAGGAAAAATAATACATTTCTAGTAAATCACTTAGTCCTTTCTGACCCCAAAGGAAAAGAAGGATGCTGAATGCACTTTTATTTTTACACACTCATCACATAAAACTGAGCTGCTGAATCACTGTAATTACAATATAATCATATTATTAACTTAGTTCTATACTACCATAGAACATATTATGATACCAGTTATTATTACAGTATTGTCTCAATTTATTTGGAACTAAAGGCATTCTTGTAATTTGGGAAAGGGTTAAGTGTCCAAGTAGTAGTCAGTATCCACCAAATTCCCCTGTGATGGGGATGTGTTCTCAACTTTTGCCTTTTTTGACCAGACAAACTAACCCTCTTCATACCAATGTGGGAGATTAGTGTTTCAATAAAAACAACAAAATAACAACAGGAGTAAAATTGCCTGTATTCCATCATCTAACATAGAACCAGTGATTCTGAAGAGTCAGTAAAAAGCACTTACCACACCGATTCCTTCAAAAGCAAATACTGCAGTCCCAAAAAACAGTGGGTATTTCTTCCAGCCGACCACTGGAGGCAGTTTTCGAGGATCTACTATATCCTGAAGAAAAGAAAGCAAAACAGTGTAAACTACATTAGTTCTCTCTAAAATTTTGATTGATGTATTATGTTATAGGAAAGATAACTCAGTAAATGTTGACATTGCTATTTATAATCCCTGGTTTTCCTCCCAAACTTAGTCCTTTACACACATTTATAGCCACCTTCCCACACAGACACTTGCAGATATATTTATTCTAGGTTTCTATTACTGTCATGAAAAAATTTCACATTTAAAGTATCACACTGGTGTATATGAGGGAGCATCAATTAAAGCACATGCAAAAGTGCACATATAAAGCTTAATCTTCTGCAAACTTCTGAATTTTCTAATCTGCTTTCATACTGCACAGATATTCTTCATAACCATGAGGGACATTAAAAGAAAATATCTTTATTACAAGCTGAGTTCCTGCAGAGTAGTTAATTACTATCTTCCCCAATTTTTTCTACATAACTTCTCCTGCCTCCTCGTCAATATCTCTTATTGCCTTCCTCCCCATTTTCCACTTCCCACTCACCAAAATATATATTTTTATTATCTTAAATGCAGCAATATTCTTTCTTTCAAAAGCACTGTAAAAATCTGTATTTAGAGCCTATCGCAGATTTTGAGGCACCTCCTTAAATTAAGATGCCTCAATTAATTACATGATAATGCTGCCTTTCAGAAACTGTCAGTCAGTGTATATCTATCATAGACCAACTGCCACATGCAACAAACACTACTTGCCACACTGAAAAAAACAGATAACAAACTTTTTATACTCACTCTAACAATATACTGGTAAATGATCACCAGGCTGACAGCCATGGACAGATTGGCAAGCAATGAAAGCAAGGACAGGCTCTTAAGGTCACGAATAAAGACGAGGAGGACCAGGAATGGCAGGAAACACAGCATGTATATTCGTAAATCAATATTCCTCTTCTCAGACGAACTGCTAGTGGCACTAACATTCATGGGAGCAATCTTAGTTTCCAAGAATCCTTCATGGACCTTTATTTAAAAATTAAAAAAAAAAAACACAACAAAACACACAAAAAAAATAAAATAAATAAAAAAACCCCCAACAAACCAAACCAAACAAACCCAAAACAAAGCAAAAAAACATGTTAGACAGTGGTAGTAGTGAGTATATAGTCGCACTGCTGCTTTCCTATTGGGAAATTCCTCTGCTTCACATGGTGAATGACAGGAATTTTGAGATCCCTGTACTTGTACTCTTGGTGCTGAGGGGAAGACAAGGCATTTCTAGCAAGCATTTCATCCTTACGGTAAATGATGAAATCAGGACTTCAAAGCATCATTATCCCACCACAGACTAAAGTGGAAATCCACATGCACAGTTTTGATCAGATTCCTTTCAGAAAGGTAGAGTTTGGTAAACTGAAAGCAAGCAAGACAGAACTGGGCCTTAATCTTAAGAGTGTGAATCTTCCTAAGGAGAGTAAGGGGGTTAGATGACAAACTGCTTTTGCACCCAAGTTCAGTGCCTAACAACCTCATGCCTTCGCCGTGCACATGATAGCAGCATGCATACAAAATGTTAGAATATGAACACACCCGTCTTTCATTTATTTCAAATTATTTTTTTTTCACTCTTTACTCTTTTATTTACGAACATTAACTCAGCTTTAAAAACCATGAGCTCTAGGAGAGTTGAGAGTTCTGTACTCATTATATTGATATAAATTAACAGTAGCACACAATGTGAAAGTGTAATAGGTTTTTTGGTACACAGTTCACAGGCATGGTCCCAAGACTGATTAATTTAAGGGCAATTCTTTCAATATGGTTTGTTCTTTAAAATATCAGTTATTCTCTGTGACAGTGAAATAACAAGATCATAGATCCTGCTTCAAAAATCCAAACACATCAAGCTGTTAAATGAAAGGGGCAAGTACTACCATTAAAATGTTAAGTTTTTATTTAGCCACAGCATTCCTAAGCAAACACCACAATTACCAGTACTTAATGACATTTTTTATAGGTCAGAGCAACTCAGGGCTATTAATTTTTTACTTTGAAGAAGAGGGTGAAATGAAGAAATGAGGACAGGCTGGTGAAATGGCAGGTAATCAAGGTAATGTGGGCACTATGAGACTATCATGAGGTATAAGGAGCTAGTTGCTAATGGAAAACCAAGTGTATGTAAACCAAGTCATTCAACCTGGCAAGTTCACCAAAACTCAGACTTTACAAGCCTAGCACAAAAAAAATTTTGCACAATTCACCTTATTTCCATTGTTTCAAATAATCTAAAAACTCAGGAAGACAGAATGAACTTAAGATCATTTTCTCTGTAACAAAAAGCATCATGCACTTTTTTTCCCATTATGAAATAGGGAAAGAAAAAGATACAACTCTGCAACCACATGTTTTCCAGACATCTCACTTTAAATGAAAACAGACACTGGACATTATGGAAACACTGATGGTTTCCACTTTGCAAGGATCTTAAGTGTCCCTTGCATGACGTGTAACATCTGTTAGTTTTCATTAAGATAACATTTTTAGAAAGCTACAAAGAAGTGCTAATTACATTTAGAATTGAATTCACAGAGCTACAATACCTCTACTTTGCCAAGCAATAATTCAAACACTTAACCAAATTACTTCCCTAATGCCACATAAGTTCTCTGTAGAAGTTTACAGCATTCCCACTATACTTAAAACAGAAATACAGAACAAGCACTTTAAGCCTTTCACTTTAACAAGTCTCCTGTGTTTACTTGCTTGCATGCATTTGCAAACAGTCAGAGCTGCTCTGCGCACAAGGACACGTAAAAGAGTTTTCTAAGAATCACAGTGTGATTTGAGCACACAAACTCAACTGAAAACCTCCTCTACAATAAGTAGTTAACCCAGTATGCCTTCAATTTATACAAATACCTGATAAGCTATTAGAAAAAAATTAATAAAATATTTATTCCTTAAAAAAACCAAACCAAACCAAACAAAAAAACACCAGGCAAGATACAGTTCAGGCTCTAAAATACATCTGTAAATACCACAGTATAAACCAGCTTCTACTCAAATAATTTCAATCATTCAAACACTTCAATTTTTTTCTTAAGACAGAGGCATTCCCTTAGTGTACACAAATCCTAATAAAAAGTGCCTGAAGTCAGAAATTTTTTCTATTAGCATCACCAAATTCCAATTAGATATTCAGCTGGAGTTTACTGGCTAATACAGTGGAAAATGCAAGGTACAATATAAAATTCTATTCAAGTTTTGCTCTACTGTGATCAGCTACCCTGATGAAGGGGGTGATCACATCTCCATCTGCCTTTTACTTTCACAAAAATACTAGGAAAGCACAGAGAAAGAACATACTACAGCTGCACATAAACTCTCCACAACTTTTATCAGATGACTGAATGTTGATGCAGAAAGGGCAATAAAACTGCCTCCCTGACCCCAGCTCACCAACTCCCCCTTGCACCCCTAAGATATGAGATGTATTCCTGCAACAAATCACAACACTGTATTCTGCTTTACAATACGGCAAGCATGGTACCCTTCTCCTGCACTGTTCCCTGGCACAGCATTCACTGGAGGAAGGAAACGGGGTCAAATGGATTCTCAAGAATGTCATGAGTTGCAGAAGTCTGCTGCAGATCCTGTTCCTTGCAATACAGTTTAAAGAAAGAAGTCAGGGCATCAAAGACATCCTAGCTGGGAGGGAAAAAAAAAAAGAAAAATGAAATTCTGAACCTAAGCAGCACAGAATAATATTTTGCATAAACCAGATTTGCAATTACAGCTGTCTTTAGTCCAAGCTATGAAAAGCATGGGCTTCTTGTACGTTTTTAACGCAAAAGCTGCAATTCTAGGGGAATAAATGCCAGTTCCACAAAACACACAAAGTGTTCCTCTGCTCCTTCCTCTCTTCTACACCATCTCTCATTTGAGTCACTTTGCCTTGTCAAGTCTCCTACCAACTACACAAAACACCGTATTCTCAACAATCTCCATTACCTCATCCAAAACCAGGGGTCTGAAGTCACTGAATCATAGGTCAGATAGGACCTCAGGAAGTCTATAGTCCAATAGCTTGCTCACAGTTCCGTGAGCTACGGCATCATACCACATTGTTCTTCTCCCCATTCTCCAGCTGGGTCTTGAAAACTTCTAAGGATAGACAGAGACTGCACAACCTGTCTGGACAACTGGTTCCAGTGCTTGACTGTATGGAAGCTTTTCTTCCCCTCAGAACAGAAATTCCTGTGCTGTTTTGTGAACGGTTTCTCTTGTCTTGTCATTTGACCTCAGTAAAGAACTTCATTCCATTTTCTAGACAACCTCTTTGTAGTCCTGGAGGGTGGCTTTTAGGTCCTCCAAAAGCCAGTTCTTCTCCGACATGAACAAGCCCAGTTTCCCCAGCCCTCACAAGACAAATGCTTCAGGCCCAGTAATTTCAGCAGGCTCCCTTGAACTCACTTCAGTTTGTCAATGACTTCCCAGTACTAGGAATATCCAAAACCTGATAGAGTATGTTAGATATGGCCTAACAAATGCGAAGCAAAGGATGACAATCACTTCCCTTTATCTACCAGCAATTTTTCTTTTCATACAACCCAGGATGCTGTTTGTTTGCTTTGCCGTCACACCACACTGCTGGCTCATGATCATGAACACTGCTCCCCGAGTCTGACCACACAACCAGCGTTCTTTTTCCCCCAGCCAGTTGTCTGTCAGTCCACCTATCTATCCAGACCATAATAACGATACTTAGATACAAATTTATTGTAGAGACAGCATGAAAAACCTTGCTATAAACGTTTATAAAGTAGCATCTAGTGATTTCTCATCATGTACAAATTCAGACTTTTTTTCTTACAGAAGGCAATCAAGTTGGTCAGTCCCTTGGTAAATCCATGTTGACAGGTTCCAGTCACTTTATTCTCCCTCATGTGCACAGAAATGCATGCCAAGAAGACTCAGTTCCTGATTTTCAAAGGGATTGAAGAGGTTGATTGGCTCGTAATTCTCCAAATTATTCTTTTGGCTTTTAATGAAGATAAACTCAACATTTGCCTCTCCCTGGTTCTCAAGAACCTCTCCAGTCTGTAAGGTCTTTCAAAGACTTCAGGTTTCTCCCAGCACTCTCAGATACATCCCAGTTTCCCCCTTTTCTTTTTGTCTTCAGAGGACAGCAGTGACATTGCTTTAACCAGATTTTGACAGTATAAAGCAGGTAATTTCTTACTCTCTTCCCATCTTCGTTCTGTGTGGTCACAGCTGTCAATGTATAAATGTATTTTGTAACTCAAATGGAACAAACCCTTTTTATTTGTGATAGCCTTCACCCTAATGAGATCGGACCAATCCCTGCGGATTATTCTGCTGTAAGTCTTTAGAAATATATTTAAAAACGAAGAAAAGCAGAGCCCTTTCTGAAACAGCCCTGTTTACCAATGTCTATCCTATGGAGGATTATGGATTGGAATAGAGAAAAGAACACATGAAATGGTTAGTTAAGTTCCACTTACTCCCTAATAACTGCTGAAAGTGCACACACTTATCCCACACAGACTATTTTAGAGATCAGCTTGCCATTGGATGAAGAGGTTACTGTGAATTGAAACACTGCTAAAACCAGCACTACTGGCTTGGGTAAGCAGGAGGTTCCTGAAATTTACTCTGCACTGGCTATTACTTGCATGCATCAAAATGTGAAGCCCATGACTTCAAAATTAATATTTCAATTTGCTTGCCAAAAAAATAGAAACTTTTTAAAGTTTCAACTGTTGACTGTCAAACTGTTTTAATTATGTCCATTACACACAGGTGAATTTTATGTATACACACACACATATATACTGTGTAACTCATATTATGGACACAGTTATACTGATATAAATGCACAGGAGGACAGTTTATTCCCTTTTGTGGACATACATACCTTTAAACCAACTTTATATCAACAGAGTAGCTTTAACAGCATCAGTCAGAGCAGTACCACTTACGGGTTTAGACATGGCCACAGC